GGAGATAATATTTGTATATAGGTTTAAGTTTCGCACACGTGGGAAAAGCAGGAGCTTAGGGCCTTTGTTGTCTTTGGTTCCATATAGTGTTTAGCACCATCTCGGGAGACGCCCTTCTGACTGTTCCCTGTGCCTTTCACTCATGACTACTTGATGTGTGGTTGGTGGCTTTTGTTTTGGGTATTGTTTTTTGTTTGTTTGAACGGGAGCTACTCTGAAAAACTGCAGAAGGGACTGAGTTTCATGTTCAAATCAATATGGCACCCTGTGGAGGATGCACCAGGAAAAGGGGGCCCCCAGGGTGGAAGAAGGTCAGCTCCTAGGGCAATAGAGATCCTGGAATGATTGGGGTATCTACTGACCCCACAGGGTAGGACTTTAGGCAACACTGGGTCATTCATGTTTTGTTTATTATGTTTTCAAAAACTTTTAATATTAATTTAACATATACTTTCTAAGTACTTAATGTGTCAAGTTTTTATTCTTTGAGCGATTATTTTTCCCAGTTTTAGTTATAAATGGAAAGGCAGGAATGCCATTTTATCCCTGAAAGGATATATATATATATTTTTTCTTTTGAGTTGAAGTCTCACTCTTGTTGCCCAGGTTGGAGTGCAGTGGCATGCTCATGGCCACCACAGCCTTGACCTGCTGGGCTTAGGTGACCCTTCCACCTCAGCCTTCCAAGTAGCTGGAACTACAGAAACACGCAGCCATGCCCGGCTAGTTTTTGTGATTTATTGTAGAGTCAAGGTCTCCCCAAGTTGCCCAGCCTAGTCTCGAACCCCTGGCTTCAGGCGATCCTCTCATCTCCGCCTCCCAAAGTGCTGGGATTACAGGCTGAGCCACCACACCCGACCTGATATTATTCTTAACAATCTAAAAATAAAGCTGATCTGCTGATAAAGTATACAAAGAAAGATAGGAAATGTAGTTTGGGCACTGAGATACACTAAACTAGGAGACAGTAATAGTATTGGAAAGGGCTCTAGACTGGAGCTAGGGACCAGGTACTAGGCTCAAGTCTGCCACTCACCCCATGACCTGTAGGCAGTACCAAGTCCCTGTGCCCATAAAACGAGGAGATTGTGTTGTACTAAATGACCTCTTCAGTCCTCCTGGGCTCAGACAACATAATCCTTGATAAGACAAAGAACATGGATCATTGTAGGAAGCAATGAGTATTTACAAGTAAAAATCAAGGACTACAAAATTAACAGAAACTCGTCTTCCCAATATATTTTAGAAGTTGGTCTTTGGATGTTGAATTTGTTTTCCAAATGTAGAGAGCAAGTTGTTCAATTTTTGCTTTAATTTGTCCCATTTTGTTGTTCTTTTAAGATCATCAAAAAAGCTCATTGGCACCAGGTCCCCTGAATTGTCTTGGGCAACATTTGTTTGAAACATCCTTGACAAAAGGATTATTCTCCCTCCACCGTCACTGCAGTCTGCTGACGGTCTTCTCCACCATCTGCCACACGGAACGATCTTAACGAGTCTCCATTTCACTTCAGATCTCAAGTAGAAAGTGAATATTTTCTTTCTCTTCCTGCACTCCTATTACCTAGACACCTAAATTTTTGTCTGAGTTTGTTATTTCTTATTTCTCTATTGATCCATATAGATACTTCCAGATCCAGGAACTTTTAAAGATGAATAAGGGAAACTTGAGTCAAATAATGTACCTTTTACTGTTAGGAATGGGATCTATGTTTTTTTATTCCTTAAGAATAATTCAGTTTTACTTACTTGGCAATTTTTACTCACTTGCCAATACATATCTCATGAATTCTTTGTGTTTGTTTGTCGGGGTCTAACTGTTGCCCAGGCTGGAGTGTGGTGACACAATCATGGCTCACCGCAGCCTTGATCTCCTGGGTTCAGGTGATCCTTCTGCCTCAGCCTCCTGAGTAGCTGGGACTAGAGGCACACGCCGTCACACCTGGCTAATTTTTAAAATATTTTGTAGAAATGAGGTCGCACTTTGTTGCTCAGTTCGGTCTTGAATTCCTGGACTTTAATCTTCCCACCTCAGCCTCCCAAAGTACTGGGATGACAGGCATGAGCCACTGTGCCTGGCCTCAGCTCATGAATTCTGGCATGCTGCCTTCATGCTCAAAAAGGTTGTGTGTATATTTGGATCTGCCCCACCACCCTCAGGTTGGAGGAAGGGTCAGGTTTCTTTATTTTTCTTAATCAAAATTCAGGCAAGTCCCTTGCCGACGGTACTGGCTGGATCTCCAGTCTCAGGAGTTTCAGGTCCTACCTTCCTTGGGCTCAGCCAACACAGTCCAGGAATTCCAAGAGTCCTGGAATAACTAAGCCAGCCCAGCAGCTTTGAGGACAGAGCTCTGTTCTTCAGCTTGCTGTAAACTGACATAAGTCAGTGAGGTTATTTCTAGCTGTCAGGCAGATACTGATAGTCTGACCCTGATGGCAGGGAGCGCCGCAGTTTCACTCCCCCAACAACCTTGCCACGGGTGGTGCTGCAATACACAGGTTTGAGAAGAAATTCTGCTGTACTTATGAACACTTACTAGCAGGCAGGCAAACACCATCATCTTGTGTGTAATCTCCATGAAGTCCCAACCGTAAGCTCCTGGCAGGAAGACATTGCTGGCAGCACGTTCAGCAACTGGCTGACAGAATACTTTCGAGAAGTGCAGAACTCAGGGCCTATGGGAGTCCTGAGCCCTTGAATGTCATTCTAAAAGACATTGGGCTTCTGGGCTCACCAGATTCTCAAATCCATCTTGTTTAAGGGAGGAAATGACTGGTCAATATTTCTAGATAGTCCATATATTCTGAGACTCCTTTCTGCTGATATAGAAGTCTCTTCAGCTTCAATTTAGCTGGGCATAATTAGACAGCCCGGTAGCTGCTTCCGGAGTGTGGACACTGGATTAGGATGTTTCAGTGCTCATAAACACTCATAAGGTACAGATAGCTGATTTCTCCTAAGGTTAGCCACCTATGAGGTACACATTAAAACCAGCTCAAGCACCCTTGTTGATTCCACTGTGCTTACTGAATGACAGATGATGGAACCACTTCTGCTCCCAATTATTCTTGACTCCAGCTCGAAGCCTTTGTCGCCCTCTCAACGTGGCAAGCGTGGGGACGGAGCTCTTTGTCAAGGCTTCCAGGTCTGAGGCCAAGTGGCACCTCTTCATTCCATCCAGGTCCTACTACTCAAGGGTCTCTCTCAGAAGGACCACGCTTATGGGCCAGCCCCTGGGAACCCACACCTTCACCAAGACTGCCCCCAGGAAAGTACCCTTGGAGGTCAAGAGAGGTCTGGGAATCTTTTTTCTTTCTTTTTTTTTTTTTAAAGCTTTTCATATATATACATTTTTGAGTTGGAGTCTCACTCTGTCACCCAGGCTGGAGCGCAGCGGCACACTCACGGCCACTGCAGCTTTAACCTGTTGGGCTCAGATGATCCTTCCACTTCAGCCTTCCAAGTAGCTGAAACTACAGGTGTGCGCCACTGCGCCTGGCTAATTTTTTTATTAATTGTAGATACGAGGTCTCCTTATGTTGCCCACACAGGACTCAAACCCCTGGATTTAGGCAATCTTCTCACCTTGGCCTCCCAAAGTGCTGGGATTACAGGTGTGAGCCACAGTGCCCAGCCTGGATAGATAGATAGATAGATAGATAGATAGATAGATAGATAGATAGATAGATAGATAGATTTTTTTTTAAAGAGAGAAGATGTACCAAAAAAGGGCCATAAAAATTATGATTTAATTATATTATATAATTATATATATTAATTATTTAAGAATTTCACATGTAACAAATAAGACTTTTAACACACAAACACAGTGCAACCTCATCAGGAGATATGTCTAAAGTCTAAAACTTACGGCCTTAAAGGATGTGAAACCTTAGCAATGGGCCTTTCAAGCCCCTGTGACAGGCCCAAGCTCTGGCCTAGACTTTGTAAAACAAAAGTCTCTTAGCCTTCCTCATCCTAGGAGAAACCTAGATCCCCAGAACCCAAAGTCTTTGTTTCCCTCTCAAGAGAAGGAAAGAAGCCGGGCTCGGTGGCTCAGCCTGTAATCTCGCACCTTTGTGAGGCCAAGGTGAGTGGATTGCCTGAGCATGTGGGTTCGAGACCCGCCTGGGCAACTTGGCAAGACCTCATCTCTACAATAAATCAAAAAATCAGCCAGGCGTGGTAGCGCATGTCTGTAATTCCAGCTACTCGGAAGGCTGAGGCGGAAGGATCGCCGGCGCCCAGCAGGTTGAGGCTGGGTGGCCGGGAGCGGTCACTGCACTCCAGTCTGGGTGACAGAGTGAGACTCCAACTCAAAAAAAAAAAAGAGAAGGAAAGAAAAATACCTCTTTCTTCAGAGACCCAGCTCATTTATCTGCCAGATGATTCTGCCTCCTCACAGGGATGGCCTTCTCCAGTTGTTGACAAAGAACTCTCGACCTTGAGTTCCTTTTCATTTGCCCAGGGATAGATTGGAGGCTGTTTTGGCCACACTCTTTCCTAGTTTTCTGATAGCCTAAGTGTCCTCTGACCGCCAAACCAGTGCCGTGTAATTAGGGAGCCTGTAGGAGTTGGTGACTGACTTAGCTCAGTTGAGTCACAGGACTAAATTGAGTTCAACAAAAGGCACACATGGTCACATTCAGGATTGTGGGGCGTGGGATGTAAAGGATGATACATCTCAGGGGACGCTGGGGAGCTACAGGCCCTGGTATTATTCCGAAGGCGGGCAGTAGGCACATGGGGCATATTTTATTATTCTTTGAATGGTGTGTTGTGTTTATGATTCTTTGGGTGGTGTGTGTTGTGTTTATTTTATTATTCTTTAAATGATGTATTTCAAATCTGTTAAAGGTTAAAAATAATGTAATCTCTCCTCCAGTCCCTTTAGGAACAAGCTGAGGCATAAATAAACAAGGAGATAAATATGCAATTACATAAAACAGTATATTGACACTAAATGCTTCTTTTTTCTCTCCCAGCATCTGGCCAATGTTTCCAGCGAAGACACACACGTTCATATTTTACCCCCACAAACCAAATATTTTCAGATCAATTATGAGAAGAAGGTAAGTATTGTTTAGTTACCTGTTCTCCCACGGCGTTCTTTGCTGGGTTGTGGTTTTCTGTGTCTTGGGCTTGCGTGGGACACGTGTGTGGTGGGTTGTCACCCACAGTGTTACCCTCTGCGTGGTCCAGGGTTTGTCCTGATGAGAGCCCACCTTTCTTCCAGGAACACCGCCTTGTCCCTGGCCTGTCGCTCTTGGTCACCGTCCTGTTTTCTCCAGATGAGTGGCGATACTATTATGACTGCATTCGCATTCACTGTAAGGTAAGTGTCTTAAAATTTCTTTTTTTTTTTTTTTGAGGGCCGGTCAAACCTGACATCCCCAAGGGAGGAAGAAAAAGAGATGGAACGACTGGCAAGTGTTTTCTCAGCCCGGTGCCCGAGTGTCTCTGGGCAGCCGATCTGACTGGCGTGCAAGGCTTGTTGCCCAGGGGCATGGGCCCTCCCTTGGGAAAAGTTTAGGCTGCTGAGGACCCGGACAGAGTCAAGAGACAGTGTTTGCTGCAGGTTTTACACTACCGTGTGCCTAAAACTTCATTTAAAACGTGGCAGTGGTAATGGTAGTCAGACTCCCTAATAACTTTTCCAAATAACTTTTTTTTTTTTTTTTTTGAGTTGGAGTCTCACTCTGTCGCCCACACTGGAGTGCAGCGGCCACTCCCAGCCAGCCACCGCAGCCTCGACCTGCTGGGCTCCAGCCATCCTTCCGCCTCCGCCTTCCGAGTAGCCAGAATTACAGGTGCGCGCTACCACACCCGGCTGATTTTTTTGATTTATCGTAGAGATGAGGTCTCGCCTGCCCAGGCGGGTCTCGAACCCGCCGGCTCAGGCCATCCACTCACCTCAGCCTCCCAAAGGCGTGGGATGACAGGCTGAGCCACCGAGCCCGGCTTTTCCAAATAACTTTAATGTACTTTATTAAGTGCTAGGTTAAAAAATTAACAACCGCCTGAGTTGTGATTATAAACACCAGCAGCCGGCTCGTGTCTGGGAACGTCCACAGAGGCAGCCCCGTGGGTCTTCGGGGAGAGGGAAGCCACCTGAGCTCTTCTGAATCTTTCCTAGGTCACCTCATTTGTCCTTTGGCTTCCAGCCGGAGCTGTCAATCCAGCTCTTAAAACATCACCTCCACCCCTGCCTGTGCTCCACAGTCCAGGCCCAGTCTTGCAGCTTGAAAAGTCCTTAAGCTAATTAAAGTCTCAAGATGCAGCGGGGTGCAGTGGCTAACGCCTATAATCCCAGCACTTTGGGCAGCTGAGGTGAGAGGATTGGCTGAGCCCGCAGGTTCAAGACCAGCCTGGGCAACTTGGTGAGCCCTCATCTCTACAATAAAATTTTTAAAAAATTAGCCAGGCATGGTGGTGCATGCCTGTAGTTCCAGCTACTTGGAAGGCTGAGGTGGAAGGATCGCCTGAGCCCAGCAGGTCAAAGCTGTAGTGGTTGGGAGCGTGCCACTGCCCTCCAGCCTGGGTGATAGAGTGAGACTCCAACTCAAAAAAATAAATAAATAAATAAATAACATTTAAAAAAATTAAATTATTGATGCTTCAAAACTAAAATGGAAGAGTATGCTTTAGTGACAAATGAGTTTCTATTTATTTTTCTTTTCAAGCAATGCTTTTATTTACAGTCTGCACAATAAGATGACTTGCGTTAAAAGCATTTCACTTTGACTTTCCTTTTCTTAAAATACTTATAAAAATGTGCAAACTTAATTTTAATAAATTGATAGTGTTGTCTCATTGATTCACATGATCATATTAGAGATGCATTTCCACTGGGAGAGGGAAAGAACCTTAGACCAAGACATCTAAAATAGTATTTTAGAATGAGAAACACATTTCTTTAAGAATGTGGTGAACCATTATTATTTGAAGTTTCAATTAAAAAAAAAAAAACCTAAAAATGAAACCAGAATATTGCTTTCAAAAGGAATATTCTTCACTCAACAGAAGAAAAATTCCTAGAGTAGGTATGAAGTGCCAGTGCATGTTTCCTGATACTTAGTAGTAATACTAATAAACAGTAATACTTTACATTTAGGCAAGACTCTAAACTGTTTAAGACATTATCTGCTTTAATTCTTTAAAACACCTTTAAGGCAAGGTGTGATTATCTCCATTTTGCAAAGGAAGCAACAGGCCTGGAGAGGTTAAGGTTCTTGCTCAAGGTCATCATTATACAGAACAAGAAGCAGGTTTCAGTGCCCTGTTGCCAGTAAACTGTTTTCTATTCTTTGCTGTCTGGATCAGATGGTTTTGTGCTGGTTTCTCGTTTCGTGGACCAGTAAAGGTTGTGTTTCTTTATAATTTTCTGAAATAGAAGCAGGTTGATTGCTGTCTTCATATCTATGAGGCATAATTATCTTTAGCTTTTGGATAATAGTGAACATCATTTCAAAGTAGAGAACTTAAAATTTTCTATACTTTATGTTTATGGCTAAGAAAAACTCAATATTTCTAATGTTATACTTAAACACTGAAGTTTCTTAAGGCAATATTTTAGTGATAGAAAACAAGATAAGAAGTAAAGCATCTATAAGTTCATCTTTAAAAAGTGGATTCTTCAGAATGTTAAACTTGACTTTTTCCCCATTAATTGTAGGGAGATGACACTTTGCTTGTTCCTATCCATGCCTATCCCATCATGAACACACTGGACTTTCCCTCATTTATAAATCTATCAAATGTTCTACTTGGTGAAAGGTGAGTTACCGAAATGTTATAGGATGTGAAAAATTAAAAGATACTCATATAAAAGCTGAGGCTTGTGTTTTTCCTAATGAAAGTTCATCCCTCCACCTGAAACAGACTAGAATCTTCAGTAGTTCAGTAGTTGTGAAAGGAAAAAGAAAAAAGCAACAATAGAAACAAACCCAAATCAAAATATCATAAGCAATAAAGGAAATATATTGGGTCATTTAACTGAAAGATGGATAGTATAGGCTATTCAGGAACAGCTGGGTCTCCAGGTTGAAGTCAATTGCAACAGCTTGACTCTCCCCATGTTTGGGTTCTGCTGCCCTGTGCTTCCTTCTTAACAGGCTTCCTTGATGGGGGCGAGACAGCTACCAGAGCTCTAGCCTGGAGCCAGGGGCGAGTGGAGGGGCTGAAGGGGTTGAGGTGTTCGAGCAAAAACCCAGCACTGAGTTGTATCAGAACAACCTGGATCACGTGTCCATCCATTAACCAATCTGTTCTTAAGGGAAGGAAAAGACTACAGAAATTTACTATAGAAGACAAGTCTCAGATTCCTCCCTTCTTCTTGTTGGGAAAATGGTTAATGATTCCAATTGTAATTTAAGGTATGTCTTGTTCTTTCAGTAAATTGTAAATGCCCACTATGTGGCTTAGTGCTGTCTACCCCTAGGTGGATACTGGGCTGTTAGATATTGATATATAGTTGTCCATTGGTATTCGTGGGAGATTGGTTCCAGGACCCCCACCCAACAGATACCAAAATGTATGGATGTTCAGGTCCCTGTTATAAAACGGTATATTATTTACATATAACCTATGCAAATCCCCCTGTATACTTTAAATCACCTCTAGATTACTTTGAATACCTAATACAATGTAAATGCTATGTAAATATTATCATATTGTATTGCTTAGGAAATAATGACAAGAAAAATGTCTGCACATGTTCAGTACAGACACAATCATCCTTTTTTTTACCAAGTGTTTTTGATCTGCAGTTGATAGAGTCCATGGACGTGGAACCCACAGATATGAAGGGCCAACTATACAAAGGCCATGTCAGTTAAAATATTGAAATATTTCTATATCAGTTGGAATATATATACTGTCCCGAGTCTCCCATATCTCCACCCAGCTGCCTGGGGTCTCCCCTCCCCCTACCTCCTCCCAGTGATTTAGCAGCTTTTATTGCAGAGGGAGGTATCTGCGGTACTCGCCTTACAAGCATCCACTCTGATAGATTGCTACCCAGAAAGTGCTTATTGGGGTTGGTAGTTTGGATATCAGTCATGGTGGAAAGATGACTAGACAAAGGTTCTGGTTCTCAAGGTCTCAGAGTCTAACGGGATAGAACCATGTCATCATTGAGTTACATCAGTTACTAAGCGCAACTCGTATGGGAGGTGACAGCTGGGTTATCCTAAGAGGACACCATGGGCTGGGGATGTGAGAATGTCACTGTTGGCAGGGAAAAAGCCTCCACAAAGGCTTGGTGGCAGCAGAGGGCACGGACTATATCCTGCAGATGATGAAGGGCCACTGGAGAATTTTAACCTATCCAGTAACTGACAAATGCTGGATGCCTCCAGATATAGGCCCAGGGGTGGGCAAAGACTATGAACTTCAGCAGGCTTATGAGGGTGGAAATAAGGCCAAGTGAGCCTGCAGACAGCCCTAAGCAGGGAATTCAAGTCACTAATGGCCAGGAAAGTTAGAAAGAGGAGTAAGGGGTCCTTTGGTACCACCTGTTGTCCTTGATTGAAACTCCAAAATATAGGCCTGGAACAATCCCCTTGGCTCAGCTGATGCGTGACCCTCTTCTCTGCCCCTCCCACCTCCCACATCTTCCCAGGTAGCTTCTCACTCATATCTCAGTTTGCTTTTGTTTTAAAACAACTCTTTAAAAATTGTCACATGAATAATACATATAAAAGAATATATAGTAATTCAAACAGTTTAAAAATAATAATAATAACAAATATTGGCTTTAAGGCATAAAATATGCCTAGTACTTTTGCAGTTACGATTCTGAATCTTGGATAGTTCCCTGAATTTCATAGTTTTGACTCATATATATGTACCCCTAAATCATACATTGTTTGGCTTTGCCAGTTTTTGATCTTTACATAAGTGGAGTCATACTGGGTAAGATCTTTTGTAACTTGCTTTTTCTCATTCACCGTTATGTTTGCACAGCTCAGCCACATTAATGTATATTGTAGTTCACTGCTGTATAATGTCCATTGCATGAATTTACCAGTTTTTTATCCACTTTACTGCTGATGGACCTACATATTATTTTTATTATTTTGTTGTTGTGATGATGAACACTGCTGTTGTATATCCTTGTACAGCACATGGCTCCTGGGGCACGTGTCCTAGAGTTTCTCCAGAGTTTTTACCTAGAAGCAGAGTTGCAGGTCACAGCACAGGTTCAGGTTTACTGTGTAATGACACATTGTTTTCCAAAGTGACTGTAGTCATTTACACACCTATCCACAGTGTGTGAGAATTTCTGTTTCTCCTACATCATTGCCAAGGTACTGAATGCAGTGGCTCATACGTGTAATCCCAGCCCTTTGGGAGGTAGAAGCGGGAGGAATGCTTGAGCCCAGGAGTTTGAGACCAGCCTAGGCAAAATAGCAAGACTTTGTCTCTACAAAAAAATTTGAAAATTTGCTGGGCATGATGTCATGCACCTGTAGTCCCAGCTACTCGGGAGGCTGAGGCGGAAGAATCACCTGAGCCCAGGAGGTTGAGGCTGCGGTGGGCCAGGATTGTACCACTGCACTCCAGACTAGGCCAGAGAGTGAGACCCTGACTATTGCCAACAAAAGCAATTGTCAGGCTTTCGCATTTTTGGTGACGTTTATACTTGGCCCCATGCTCCTCCATCCAGTCGCTGACAAATGCTAAATGCCTCTAGATACAGGCCTGGGATGAGGGGCAAAGACCACGAGCTTCAGCAGGATTATGGGGATGGAAGCAAGGCTAAGTGAGCCTGCAGGCAGCCGTGAGCAGGGGGTGCAAGTGCGTGATGTCCTGGAGAGTTAGAAAGAGGAGCAAAGGGCCCTTTGGGGCCATTTTCCCCAAAGCATTCTGCCAGAACTCTATTGCAGTACTTTCTCTCGCCCTCTCACCAGCTCTTCCTGTCTTCACTCACTCCTTCTCTCCATGAAGTGGTCTGTTCAGGGACCCCAGGAATGTAAAAAGGTGAATCCTTCCTTGCAGGGTCCATTCATTGTATGCATTTTGAGGCCAAACAGGTGTTTCCTTTAAGTGAGCAAATATAGCCATTTTAATCAAAATCAAAGTGGCAGGAAACAACTAACTTTTTACTTCCTTAATTCTTTTTTTATTTCCTTCTTTTTCCCTCTATACATTACTTTTTGTTTGTATCATAAGCTACGCTTTTGAGTTGAGAACAATGGTTTATAAAGTTGGTGAAAATAATATGTCTAATAATACAGACATTAGTCTTGGGTTCTTAAAACAAAACTCTACCTACCTCCCTGGAGGCTTTTCCCAAGCTGTTTTGTACCTAATGCCTCTCATTTGTAATCTGAATGAAAACTTCAGTTAAACAGTTTATCTAATTGAGTTATTGTGTTTAATGATATGATTTTTAAAAATGCCTTCAAAAGATAGGCATGCCACTGTTTTCCTCTGAACATTCTGGTAACCGGCTCTACCTTCCCAAGGCTTTATGCCCTTTATGTAATGGCTTGTTATCAACTTTTAATGACTTGAATTGCCCCATGCTACATTCAGTTACAAATGTGTGGTGACAGGACAGGGGAGAACCTTGCAAAAGGTTTTCAGTCAACCTTAGGTGGTTGCAGTTATCATTTGGGTGGGTTCTTTATGCAGTATTCATTCATTCATTCAGTCAGTCAACAAAGCTTATTGAATGCCTGCCATGTGCCAGGTCCATTCTTAATTTCAGTGTCTGCTGAGGAAGGATGCCTGCCCAGCTTGGTTGAGGTGAGTGGGGGGCAGGTGAGATGGGGAGATCAGACAAGACTTCCAAGAGGAGAACATATCTGAGCAGAGTTTTTGATTTTCTTTGAGTCAAGGTGCTACGTTGTCACCCAGGCTGGAGTGCAGTGGCACAATCACAGCTCACTGCAGCCTTGGCCTTCTGGGCTTAAGCAATCCTTCTGCCTCAGCCTTCTGAGAGCTGGGACTACAGGTGCGCGTCACCACGCCTGGCTAATTTTTAAATTTTTTGTAGAGACAGGGTCTCGCTATTTTGCCCAAGCTGTTCTCGAATCCCTGGTCTCAAGCATTCCTCCTGCCCTGGCCTCCTAAATACTAGGATTTCAGGTGTGAGCCACCATGCCTGGCCTGAGCTGAATTTTGTAGGATGACCAGAAATTAGACAGCAAAAAGATGGGCATAAAGTAGAAGAGAAGAGGAGGTCCTCCAGAAGTTACAGTTGCATGGGCAAAGGCAGGATGGGAAGCAGCACAGCACGTTTGGGCTTGTCTAGAACAGGAGTTCCCAGCTCTCCACGGAACTGGGCTGCACAGCAGGAGGTGGGTGAGCAAGCGAGTGAAGCTTTATCTGTATTTACAGCCGCTCCCTATTGCTAGCATTACCTCCTGAGCTCTGCTTCCTGTCAGCTCAACAGCAGTATTGGATTCTCATAGGAGTGCAAACCCTATTGTGAACGGCACCATAGGTTGAGTGCTCCTTGTAAAAATCTAATGCCTGATGACCTGAGGTGGAGCTGAGGCAGTGTTGCTGGCACTGGGGAGTGGCTGCAAATACAGATTAACGTTAGCAATGAGGTTTGACTGCACATACCCCACCCCCCTTGTCTGTGGAAAAATTGCCAAAAAGGTTGGGGACCAGTGGTGAAGAACATTTGTGTGCCTGGACATGGGTCAAAGGCTATGTGGCAGGGGAATAGAGAGAAACCTAGTGAGGACCTCACAGGCTTTGCAGGGAAATGTAGACTTTACCCAGAGGTCATCACCGAAAGATTTAAGTGGAGAAATGAC